CATAACTAACGTGCCATAATCTTGAGACAATGACTGAAAAATAATGTCAGTAGCCAACTCTTGACTAATGGGAGAGCCCAGCCACACGGTTTTGAATATAACCTATCATCTTTATGACATGTGGGCTAACTAAGTTCCCATGTGATAGCTCGCACTCAATTAAGGTTTTTACCGTTTGGTACCTTTCGGTGCGTGCCTGTTTTCAAAACAAAATTTTCAGATTCATGATGATATCATAGGCATCCATGTTCTCAACCGATTCCGAAGGTTTGAGTTTATGGTAGCTAACATTAGATATGATGCATCCAATGCATCATCTTTATGCTTCGATAAGCATTCCTTTCAGATGGGGAGCATCGGAAGGAGTTGCCTTCGAGGGAGACATAATCCTTTTTCTCCCACTTGAGAATAATTCTCAAGCTTCTATACCAGTCAAAAAGTTTGAACCATTCAATTTATCCTTCTCAAGGACGGATCGCAGAAAAGCATGATGCGAGCTATTTACCATTGTCTACAACAAATATGCAACAAATATGCAAAGTGAATTGTTCGTTAATTTTATAATTCCAACTATACTTTTATAATATGTGTCCCAATAAGTATAGTGGACCAAGATCCATATTTCACAAAGACTTGAGTAAGCTTTGGCTTACCGCTCAAGACTAAGTTATTTAGGTAGACAACCCTTTGTCAATTGTATCGAATACAACTCTTGATTGTTGGAGTTGATATCTCATATCATAGCCCCAAACACTATGCCTCAAAGCCCAAAACCGTTTTGATAGCCTCGTTAAGTAAACCAATCTCAACATATGGATAACCATTATCTATCCCATTTTACTCAAATAGTCTAAGACACCCTGCTTTGGCAGACCCATCTTTTGACGATTCGAGTCTTAATAGGTGTATGACTGGGAAAGGCATCATATACTACTTAATTTTATTAGGGACTTTTGATAATTATGCAGTGAACCAATCTCAACATATGGATAACCATTATCCATCCTATTTTACTCAAATAGTCTAAGACACCCTGCTTTGGCAGACCCATCTTTTGACGATTCGAGTCTTAATAGGTGTATGATTGGGAAAGGCATCATGTATTCCTTAATTTTATTATGCAATGATGAATGTATGCATGTTCTGAACATCAACAAAGCATCACTTATAATAACAAAGACATATCAATCATACAAGAATGACCAATTCCATGCGGGGTCAAGGGCGGCGCCGCATGGGTTGTCGGGGGGCGCCTCATGGGGGTCAAGGGCGTAGCCTCGCGCAGATGGGGTTCGGTGGGCAACGGCGCCTCTCAGGGCGCTCGGGGCAAATACCAAACCTAGACAGAATTCATAATTATGTTTCCAGGAGAGTCCCGAAACATAAACAAATCTCAATTCGTGTTCTCGGGAGACTATCCGTCGCCGCGCTCCTCCGCGCCCTTATCGTACGCAATCGGCCGAACGCCGCGAGTCCCTCGACGGCCGGAAGACTAGCTGCCGTCTCCGCCTCGGGCGAAGACCCAGGACGCGTCCGCCGTCTCCGACCGCCGTCTCGGCCTTGCAATGTACCCGACAACGCGCCATCTCGGCTGCCGTCTCGCCAAGCGTCCCGCCTCGCGGCAATAGCCCGCGAAGGACGATGCGCCTCGACGCGAGCGAACAGGATCGACATCGACCCATCCTCTTCGTTCCTTTCCGAATTGATCATATCAATTCGTATTTCAAATTCATCTAACCCTAATTGAGACTCACTTCGGGCATACATCATATGTATCAACAATTAGGGTTTTCCAATTCAACTTCAATATATCACAGCGGCTCCCGATACCACCGTAGGGTTCATCAACGAAAAACAACGCACTGGAATATAGAACCCCAGACAGGGATCCATGTGTATATTGAAATCTGAAAGGGAATTTCGACGCGCACAAGATAAATCCAAGAACGATTATGTGCCCTGGATTACGCCCAAGTGTCAAGCGCCTACCGAGATCATCCACACACACCTAACGGAATTCTCCAACGATCCACGTGCTAGCGAAAGATCTTGAAGTTCCTTTTCTTGAACGCCGAATAGAGAACGATTCTCTATCGTAGAGTTTCTCCCGGGAGACACTCTCTCTAGGGTTTCCGTATTCTATGGAGGCACGGGAGGCGTGCACCATCCGACGTGAGACTCTCTCACTATCTATAGCTATATATATATCCTCATGGAACCCTAATGGCTCGGCTATTGGGCCCGCCCAAACTATCCACCTCCAATCGCATACGTAACGTTATCTCATAACGCTCGCACGACCGCGTAGATAATTTAAATAGAGAATAAATCTACTTCGAAGTAGATCAAGGCGCACGTAAAATATGAAGTCCGTTCGCGATTGTGTGCGACCCGTAGGTTCACTACACACAAGAAGCTGCGCACAAAAACCCTTTTACCTACAAAGTCATAAGCGGTCTCTAAGAACACATTACGACTACCTAAGATAAGCTAAGACGGTTTTCCGACACAACCTAATCCACAACTAATATTGTAGTATCAACCTCGATTGATTCTTAGGGCAGATCACTAACATAAGCAACTTATCGTGTGCATGAGGGACCAAACAAAAATTGAGTTCATTAAACCCCAAGAAAGAGCAAGAAAATAGAAACATGCGTCTGAGCCAGAAGCTGGAGCCATGGCTGGCTTGCTGGAGCGAAGCCAAGACAGAAGCCAATCAACGACCGGTTCAACCGAAAGTAACCGTCAATGGGGGCGAAAGAAAAGGTCAGAATAAGAATAGCCATGGAGTTTCCAACTACCGATGCATTAGCAAAATGACAAAGGAGAGAGAAGAAGAACATTAATTGTAAAATATGTTGCAGAGAGGCCCCCCCTGACCACCTTGCCTCATTTTCCACTGCCCATGTCCCTTAGAACATGGAGTAAATTATGGCTTCTTGCTCCACTACGCTTCTCTCTCTCTCTCTCTCTGAATTATTGTTTAACATGTTGCAGAAAAGACAGAATATCATTAAAAAAAATTATTTATCCTGCTCTAACTATGCTTTTACTTTGCCTTTCTTGGTAGCGAAAGAATCGAACGTCAGAAACTAAACAACCCCACTCCTACTCAATTTCCTTAACATTGGGCTACGTGTCCCAGTGGATAATCTTAGAATTTAACCGATACCATGTTAGAATTTCTTTCCCTATGTAATAAACGTTTGTACGAAATTTTTTTAGCATCCCAATATTCTCTAATGGATGTTCCATGTACACTGTGTGCTAACGGGAGCATACAAGTTTGTGCTCTTGATGAAGAAAAAAACTTAATAGCATGCAAAGCATGTAGCCCGAATACAGATGTTGAGCGAGGAAGACAAGAATGGTTGCTAAAATCATATATTGCACCTATTCTTTAGCTATTTTACGCTTTGCGCAACTTTAGAACCTTTTGTTTTTCCTTCATAAAGCAATAATTAATTAAATGACATCTACTTTTCTCTTACATAGAAATAAACTAAAAAAAAGGATTTGCTAGGAAAATGATTCGAGAACTAATAAGAAGATGCAATTAAATTAATTCGTTTCGATTAATCAAGTGACTTGTCAAACTCTTATGAGGTGATAATCAAGCATATCATCGTTTTGCTTGTGATTTCACTTCGGTAAATAGTAAACACCATTGCCCGGTGAACAATTTGACATTGAAAGACCAAGCTGCTGAAATTTTGACATTGTAATTTATAAACTACCTACCTATTGAAATAGATTTTTGAAGTTTGAAGACAAAATATCAAGATCAAATATTTGAAGTTTGCAATGTAAAAGGACATATAGACAGGAGGTTTCCCTTAAAGGATAAAGGACTAATGAAAAGGTTATTAAGTCCAGGAATAAATGGTTTGGACAAGATAAATGAGTACTAAGCATCTTGTTCCATATAATCTGTACAAAATACCTTATTCATGGTTTAGGATGTGGTGTAGAAGATTGTTGAAGGGTGTAAACCATTTCATGTAAGATAAAAAATTTGGGAATCAGAACTCTCTTAGCTCTCTACAAGAATGAATATCTTAACTTGCTGTATTCAAGATTAAGAGAGAGTACATGATTCGGACAAATGTGTCAAGAGATGAAAATCAATGGTCGTTCATATAAGATGATGGAATAGTGAACAGTTAAAAAAATTATTCTACAGGGGAGTCCTTATATTTTTGTTAGAATTTCAAAATCATCTTTTAATTATTATTAACAAGATGGTTAGATGTTCGTCCTTAGAGGAAGTTGATGATTGATTTTGCTAATATGATTTTAACGATATTAAATTTTTCTAACGTGAAAACTCTCTCTGGAAATAAGGCTACCACAATCACATGCTCTCTCTCTCTCTCTCCGCCCATACAGCAATGCGGTCACACCCCTCAAGTGACAACGATCACAACCACCTTGAGGTGGTGCAGTGTCTACGGTGATTGTTGTGGCCTCTCTCTCTATCTATTGCTTTTTATTCATAATTGTTTAAATTGATGGTGCGACGCTTACTTGGCATTATGGAAATCTGAGCGAATTATAACGTGGCACATGCTTCCTGACTTCCAACTTAGTCTTCACGTTAATCAAATTAAACGAGTATATGGCTATGAGCTTTTTATAGAAGTGTTACCGACTATTTTGATTAGGGAAAAAAAAAGGTATAAGCGCAATTTGAAATCGTAAGAACAGAAACTATGAGTGACTTTATTCCTATTCTACACTGCCCTAGGCCAACTTCTTCAATTTATTTGTACACAAATGCTATAAAAATGTTCCCCTCCTCTTCAAGAGATTCAGAGCTTCTCACCGCTTTGCAGTCAGGACCCAAAAACAAATCTCATGTGATGAGGCACCAACTCAACAGGGTGTAGTGAAAAATGAAACATAAAAGAAAATGTAAAGAAATCATTCATTTCTCTCTCTCTCTCTCTCTCTCTCTCTCATTCGCACGAGCCAAGCCCAACTATAAAAAGGCATCCTCAATTTACGGCAGAGACTCCCAAATTGATCACTTTTTTAGCTCCCGAGTCTTCAGAGACTCGTTGGAAAAAAAGTTCTCAACTCTCCCAAACACAAACCCTCCAAAAAAAGAAGACCCAAAAGGTGAAAAAAAAAAGAGAGAGAGACAAAGAGACAGGGAAGATCAAGAACAGAGTATGGAGATTGAAACGGTGAAGTGCGAGTGTTGTGGGTTGAAGGAGGACTGCACCCAAGACTACATATCCCAAGTGAAGTCCAAATTTGAAGGCAAATGGCTCTGTGGGTTGTGCTCAGAGGCCGTGAGGGATGAAGCGAACAGAGCCAACAGCAACAACAAGAAGCCATTCGGGGTTGAAGAAGCCGTGAGAGCTCACATGTCCTTCTGCAGAAAGTACAAGTCAAGCCCTGCATTCAGGGTCGCTGATGGGATGAGGCAGATGCTGAGGAGGAGGTCTGGCGATCTGTCGTCTTCATCTTCTTCATCGTCATCATCATCTTCCTCTTCTTCTTCTTCATCTTCTAAGAAGTACTCAAGATCAGCCAGCACTTCACAAGTTGGTGATGAATCACCATACTCACTGTACTGATTGAGGGAAACAGATAGCAGGGGAAGCGCTAGCTATTGCTGATCTTGGTTTGGCTTTCTTGAAAATCCAACCAAAAAGGGATAAAAAAAAAAGAGACCAAAAAAAGAAAAAAAAATGGAGAAAGCTTTCATCTTTTGTCTTGTACAGGGGATGTTGAATTTAGTGGAGGCTTCTTCTGAGCTCTTGGAATTTTGGCTGCGTCTACACCCATGTGTTCATGGGATGTGATTGTTTCTGGTTTTCTCTCCTTTTCTTTTTCTTTTTTCCAAATAATTTCCAAAAACCCTTTATTCTTTTTGTAATCTTTTTTCCAAATTTTCTAGCTCAATATTTTCTTCAGATTTTTCCATTGACATTTTAGTTCTGCATCATACAATAAAAAATTGCAATCACTGGCACTGATGATGCATAATGGACTTAGTAAACCAAGAAATCACTCTATTTCCCCTCTTTTACTTGACATTTTTTTTCTAAGACTTGGTAAAGACTATAGGGATTACATATATCTATTAACAATTTTCATTTTTTTAAGGTTGAGAATATCAAGGGTAAGTCTAGGAGCTTATAATAACATAAGTCAAATGTCTTTTCACTAAAGAGAGGACTGATTCAACATCATGACATGAGCTTCAATTATTAAAGCTGAAAATGTTTTTTTTTATCCCACTATGCCTAGGTTATCATGTTATATGTCGCAATTATTCGTGTTTGTCTTTGCGACGACTTAGCACGAGTTTTAACCATTGGGGTCCCGGCTTCAATCATGGATCTCACCAATCGAGATAGACCCCCATCATATGCTAATGCTACACATGCTAAATCCATTATTGGAAGACCAAAACTCAATAATTTGGACTGGAAAATAATAATTTATTCCACCAAGTCAAAGAATGTGAACTATAACATTGTGTCAATCACAATTTAGTCATAGTGCAATGACCCTCCCTAGAAAAATCCTGGTGAAAAATCACTCTAACCCTATGATTGTGAGACCCAGTAAAAATATAATATTATTACTAAACAATAATGTGAGTTTATTAAATTGATTTGAGATAATAATTTCTTAATTCTCGCCATGACAAGTGGACCCATGAAGATTCCGTAGAACACGGTATCTTGTTTTAGTTGGAATCCATATATAAAAATAATGTGAAGAAGTTAGTCTACCTATTCACAATTTTCAAAAATGTAAAGAGTGCTTAATCTATTAGGTTTTGGGGTATATGATGATTGGTGTGTTCATATACTAACAGCACGTAAATAATATTAATTGGGATTATCGATTATTATTGAAGTTTGAACCGTAATTTACGTGTTAATTTCAGCCATTTTCATTTGTTACATTGTAGCCTCTACATATTTTTTTTTTTTGGTCAAGTAGCTTCTACATATTTACGTTTATAGAACCATGATAGGTTTACCCCTCCAAGGTAGACTATCATCATCATGCATGCATGGAATGAGATACGAAATTATACTTGCACGCGCAATAGTACGTAAAGCTTTAACACGTGCTAGCCAATACAAATTCAAACCCCTAAAAGCCTAGCCCCAATTTGTTGATGAGTTAGTCCTAACGTCACGTCCTGTCATCTCCAGATCTGTCCACGAACATCGCAGCGGCTCGCCTAATCCTTCGTGGCGGTCAATCTCGAAAGAAAATCACGGAGCGATAAATCATAACTTTCAGTCGCTTCAATATGATGGATTCCCCACTATTAATATAGAGACTTTCGATCCCATCCAAAAAGCCAACATAGAGTACGAAGTCAGTAGGCCAAATTATAGGGATGTGGTTCCCCATATGATATGGTTTGAGATCTTTGCTCATGAGGGGCCAATATAGACAAAGGCAGTGCAGTGAGACAGCAACGTTTGTGCGTGTAGGACATGATTCGACTGCATGGTCATATGGCCGCTGCCGTGTCCGGGCTTTGCACCGTTCAATTAAGCCGCGGCATCTCGAATTGGATTCCGGTTTGACACCGAAAAGCAAATCGCAACGAAATGGGGGAAGGGGGAATTTCATTTGCTTTGGGGGACACATGTCTCTCCGAATTTTCGGCTGCTATTTTTTCTTTCTTTTTCGGCCTCCACGTGGCCACGGGGTTGGACCGAAGGCGAGGAGAAACCGATGGCGATGATCCTTCATAGATGTGACCGGGAGAGCTGTCATGTATCGCGAAATTAATGCCGTGGTGAGAGTTTTGAAAGACTCGCTCGTTTTTTAACTATCAGGTCGTTATTCCTTTAAGAGTGTCAGCCAGGAGATTGAGATGACTCGACACCGGCTCTATTGTAAGTCGGTGCGCATGGAAAAAATCGTGAACTACATTAGTCTTATTTCGAACTTTCATAGCAACGTGCGCGTTGCCAATGCATCCTGTTCTTGTACCAATATGTCAACATGTTACAAATCGAAGTATGTTTTATCTATAGGCAAAAAGCTCATCTGAGGACGAAGCAATAATAATGTTTATACACATTTAATTCTTTCACTACTAATTCTAGCATTCACCCACTATGCTTGCTTGTTTTTTTTGTTTTTTTGGTCTGTACCCGCTATGCTTTTCAATTCCCGGGTTTTCCACAATTTTTTCTTTTTGGTCGATAGATAAATTTATTTATTTTGCTAAGAAAGATAGAAGGGCCTACAAAGTAGAGGTCGGTACATAGGCTTCGTTTGGTTCAATTTTAGGAAAAGCTTTTGGAAATGCAAAGAATTTTAGCCTAAAGTGTTTTCATGAAATATTGTTTAGTAAACTGTAATAGAAAAAGACATTGGGAAGTAACTTTGAGAGAAATGTCATTTGGTGCAAAAATGTCTAAAAAGTTCTTTGAGGTGATCAATTTAAACTTTTTAATTTTTAATTTGTTTAAAATTGGAAAAAGTAATGTCCGAAACTTTTACAATTTAATGTCCAGAAAAGATATCGAGATTTATGAAAAGGCATTTCTTGTTTGGGCTTTCACAACCTAGTCTGCTAAAATATTGGCCTCTTTGAATTCGTCATCTATTTCTAGAATGGAGTATGTCCTGAAAATCAAATAGATTTATTTTCTATATTGTCTAAACTTATGCAAGTAAGAAAATACGCATATAGAAAGTAGTTTATATATATTAAAGGGAAAAAAAGACCTATTTCATTCACAGGTAGTGGATCTATATAAAAAGGAGTAAATGTATTTATTCGGGTAAATATCTCCCCAAACTCAAAAGCACGAAAATAATTCTTAAAGCACGAGTTTTCAACCAACTATTTGAATTTAAAAACAAACGAGAATTCCAAAAAAAAAATTTAATCTTTTTTGAAGCACTAATTTGTGTTTGAGTTTCTTATATCAGTTATAGAATAATTCGCACATGAGATTAACATTATCTTTTTATTTGCGAAGTAGTCATTTTTATCTCCAAATGGAGGAGATATTGGCAGTGATGAGGAATTGGCTCCGAAATATCCATGTTGCATTTTCCGGTTGATTCGATACGATGTATTCCAACCTATGGACGAAGATGGCACCCTCATTGAATAGTGTGCCTCGAAATTTTTATGGTCTCTGGTTGGTAAGAAGAAGAATACTTGACAACCTTTCGCTGGCTCCTCGATTTCATCTACCAATTCGTTGGAGACGTAATTGGCAGCAAACTACTTTGAATACATTTAAAGAGTTGGCGGAGATAACATCGACATTCTGAAATAGCGAAACAGGAGAGCTACCAGTATTCCGATGCTTTCCACCGTGGTTTGTGACATAGTGACCCCCACCGGGCATCTACAGGACCGTTGAAGTCCACATTCAATACTGGACAACAGATCATGGAAAACAATAAGTCCAGCTCGTCTATGAAAAATTTAGAAATGAATGTGGTAAGGCGTGATTGGTGTTTGCAAAAAAATTTGACTCCAGCCGAACGTGCTCAATGTAAACAAGAGGACAACGATTGTCGTATCATCCAAATCGTGGTAAGGGACACAACGCCGAACACACCAAATCTATTAGACATTCTCTTGGGTATGATTTGCAAGCAATCGTCATTAAGGCATTTGTATGCATAACTATTTTTTTCCAATTTATTTGAAAATTTACTTCTACTTCATTCACGATTCATGGGATGAGTATTTTTTTTATTAATTCCCCCAATTAAATTTTGTATTATTTGTAATATCAGAAAAAATTTAGTTTAATTTTTTTTTTGAAAATTTTTAACTAAAAAAGAATGTAATTTAATTTTGCAAAAGAGCATATGATTTTTCTTAAACCCAACTTCTAAAGTGGAACTCGGGTCAGCCCGAGATTTTCCCCCGGACCCGACCCGCACGGACTCACCGACCCGACCGATTCTTGGCCCGATCAGTAGCGTCAGTTTGAGCTCGCAGATGACCGTTGGAAATTCAAATTTCAAAACCCCTTTGGCAAAATCTCGCACCCCCGAAAACGCACATGAACACACCCAGCGAGAGATAGACAGAGAGAGAGAATCAAACAATTTGACAGACACATTTGATCCAACGCAGCCATGAAAGCACTCCTCTCAGATTCATCGTCCTCGTCCTCGTCGTCTTGGTTGGACACTGCGAAATCGGGGACCACCACCACCTCCGCCGCCACCACCAACGTGTCCTCGACTCCGGTTCGGGATGACCGGGCCGAGTCCAGAGACAGCTGCTACTTCCCCGGATGCCGGAAGGACGCCAACTGCGAGTGCGAGATCTGCCTGGCCAGCATCAGCGCGACCCTCGATCTCATGCCCGCCAGCGTCCAGAAGAGCTCCTTCACTAAGCTGTCCCCTTTGTCGCAGCCGACGGCGCCGCGCCGCGCCCCGGTGTCCTTCGACCCATCTGTTCTGTCCACTCCTGGGACGACTATCTCGAAGACAGTGGAAAGTCCGCCGAGCTTGAAATCAGCTGTGTTGCGTGAGGGGAAGGAGATGGGGAAGAAGAAGGCGAGTTTGCGGTCGGGGTCAGGGTCGCGGCGAGAGAGGAGGTTTCTGTGGTGGGCTTTGTGTTTCGTGTTGATATTCATGGCGGATTTGGGGCTTCGGTGGTTGGTCTCAGCTGCCGTAAGCCCCGAGCTATCGAGTGATGCAGTGAGGCAGATTGGCGAGGATTCTCGGAGAGTAAGCGATTTGATTTGGAAGATCAGGTTTTTGCAGAGAGAGATACAGGGTTTTGTTGAAGGCAGGGTGTCAAATTGCAGTGACCAGAATTCTGCGTGGAAGATCAGTCAGGTTTGAACAAAGTTCGAATTTTTTTTTTCTTTTACACGTCGATTTCTTTGCTATTGAATTTCTCAAGTGATACCTCTGAGGTTCTCTCATTTTTAAAAAGATGGCTCTGATTCAAGTAGTGATGAAGCACATGCGTGTCTATTGTAGGGTGGTCTGCTATTGAGTTCTAGGTGCACACTGTACAAATCGATGACAGAAGAGGTGGGCATATGGGGATGGCCTTTGCAGACCGCAGGGCTTCTCACAACCGGCGCTTCTTCGAGATCATTCACTATCATCAAAGGCAGAGTCACAGAGGTAAATTTCAGCACCATCCAAAATGGCTATAGTTGCAACCAAACCTGTTGAGAAGATTGTTGTTTTGTTACCATGCATGATAAGCTTGTATCTTTCCAGATTACCCAGTAAAACTTCTTGGCCTTGCGTAACCAATAGAGGGTCAGAAATCTGTATGACTTTCAAAGTGTGTACGGGCCATTATATGTTTGATGTAATTGCTAGAAGCATTGCTTGCGGTTTTATTACCATCTTGTTGTGGCAACTAACTGAACTGCAATCTTTCAAAGGGCCGGTTTCTTTTCATTGCATGCCTTACTGATGAGGTGAAAACTTGAGAAAGACTTTTGAGTTTTGGCTTCATTTTCCATTTTGTCCATGTCATACCATTTGCTCGTGGGTTTATTATGTTTTCTTCCGTTCGATAGTGGAGCAACGGAAACGTGGGCTATATCATCCGAAAGGTAACTAGTTCTTGGGTGCACGGAAAATGGAGAGCATCTGTCGTGCAGCTTGATCCTGGTACTTTGATTCTGGAGTACAAAAGGAGCTCAATATTGGACGACTCGGGATTTCTAATGAAAGCACTGGAGTTCTTGAAGTACCAGATGACAGTAGTAATCGGACGAATGAATCAACGGTTTTGGTATTTCCCTGCTTTCGAGGACCATCCTGGGCAGATCAGAGCAAAATATAAAGTCCCAACTTGAGCCTGTGTGCTGCAGAATGCTTCAGTTCTCGATTCTCATCCCTTATGAGGAACTTTTTTGGTTTTTCTGCGTAGCATGCACATGGTGAAATTGATAGCTCTTGATTTTGACTATTCTTTTGTTTTTTCACCCGTACTTTGAACCGCATTAGTTCGAACAAGTTTTAGACAACAACTGTACTTATTGGACACAGTAATTGTAAAGTTTTATTCGCTTTGTGGAGGTAAGTTCTGATTGCCATGTTACCAGAGGGAACTATAGCTGTAGTCGACCGTAAGTTTCAGAAATGTCCAAGATGCACAACTTTTACATTAACAAACATACACAGAAATCAAAGTTCGCTGAACATGCAATTGCCAACATTTCAGCTTAAAAGATGTCTAATGATATCCGGTAGGTGGTCAACCTCAAGTGGAACTCCTACCAATGAAGTACGAAACAGAAGCCCAGTGGGCAGGGACAAGGCATATGCAAACTCTTTTTGCACCTCAAGAGTTTTGGAATTACAGAATAGCATTCTACATGAATGTTTTCTTTACAGACAACAACTAGAGTGTAATTTACAATTTCAATTTAATATTGGAAGGAAGAGGTCGCAGAGTACAATCACCAATAGTCTCTACAAGAGCAAATGCCATCTTTGCAATGGTGAAACCTAGTCCTATCTCTGACAATGATTTCTCTTCTGTATTTCTTTGAGATAAGCTTCATGAAAGTATGACAGTCCTCGCATATCCTGAGGTTCTTTACTATGCGGATGCATGATCCTGTTCTCTGGGTCAACAAGCCATAGCAAACTGCCAACTTCTCACTATGCCAAAGTACCACTTCTCTCTTATCTTCAACCTCTACATCAACCAAAACACAATGGGCACTAGGAGCATAGCCGACAAGCTTCAACTCTCTAACCACCTCATCTAATTTCACATAGATTTGATCTGCTCGATTGTGATCCCGGTCAGCCATAGCAAACTGGTGCACCTCGTTGTTTAATTCAATCCTACTCCATCCCCTCTCCTTGAATACACCCCTCTGTCTCATTAATTGCCTCAACTCACCGACATCTTGCCATCTTCTATGTTTTGCATAGATATTTGATAAGACCACGTGAGCTCCATCATGATCTGGCTCCAGCTTGAGGAGCTGCTTGGCGGCAAATTCTCCTAGTTCATCCTCACCGTGAACCCGACAAGCGGCCATCAATGAACCCCATATGACAACATTAGGAGCCAGAGGCATCGTCTCTATAACCTCCAGAGCTTCTCTTAATAGACCAGCACGCCCAAAGAGGTCTACCATACAACCATAGTGCTCATATTTTGGCTTGAGATTGTGTTCATTAACAATGGATGCGAAGATTTCCCGGCCCTTCTCAACCAACCCAGCGTGGCTGCAAGCATAAAGCACACCAATAAACGTTATCTCGTTAGGCTCAACATTTTCTTCTTTCATTTGATAAAAGAACCTTAGTGCATTATTGGCATCCCCGTGCATGGCAAAAGAATTGATCATAGTGGTCCAAGAGATCACGTTTTTGCTCGAAATTTTCTCAAAAACTTTTCGCGCTCTCTCCAAGCTACCACATTTGGCATACATATCGACAAGGGAGTTCTTGACAGGCAGAGCTTCTCCAAAACCATTCTCATCAACGTACTTATGCATCCATCTGGCTTGATCTAATACACCAAGATGAGCACATGCAGATACAACACTCAGGATGGTGATCTGATCAGGTTTTATTCCCCACGCTTGAATCTCCTTGAACAAAATGAGAGCTTCTTGAGGTTGATCACTCTCAGCATAGCCAGAGATCATTGCACTCCAACAGACCAAGTCTTTTTCATCCAGCTGGTCAAAAATTAGTCGCGCATTCTCAATTTGTCCAACTTTGGAATACCACGATATCATGGCAGTTGAAACAACTAAATTCTTAGGAGACATTTTGTCAAAAAATTCTTGAGCCAAATCCATGCAACCAGAACTTGCATACATGCTGATGAGGGCACTCTGTATATGCGGATCCAATATGACATTATTCTCGGTGATGTACTCATGGATCTTCTTTCCATAGGTTAAGTTACCGGCCCGAGCACAAGCTGAAAGTATGCTAGAAAGAATCATCTTGTCTGGTTCCACATTAGAACTCCGCATTTCTTCAAACAGAGACATAGCTTCATCAAAGAGGCCATTCTGACAGAATCTGCAATGTCAAAAGATAATGCGCATGAAATAGGATGGCTGGAAAGTGCAAATCTATAGCTTGATGCATTTAAGAGACTACAGCATTTTGGCTTCTCAACTGTTAAAATATGTGTTACGAAAAAATTCCCACAATCCACGACAATCACCTTCAACTAGTGCAGGGTATAAACTCAAAAGGACACAGTATCAAGTGCATCTGTACGTGAAACAGCAAGGAAATCACCATACCCATCAATCATGATGCTCCAAGAAACCACATCTCGCTGCGACATTTTATCGAACAGCAAGTGCGCATCCATAATCCGCCCACCTGCAGCATACACACGGACCAAAGCAGTCTGCACAAAAGGATCACCACCGTACCCCAACTTAACAACCAACCCATGAATCTCCGACCCCTCGACTAATCCCGCCTCTTTCGAGCCCGCCTTGAGCAAGGGAGGGAAGCTGAACCTATCCAAAACAACACCCTCCCTCCACATTTCATCGAACACAACGAGGGCATCCCCGGGCCGGTCTCCGCGGGACAGCTCCCGCAGGAACTTGTTGAGGACCCGAGTTTTCGAGGAGTTGGGGACGTGGCGGAAGACGGAGAGGGCATAACCGAGGCTCGGGGAGGAGAGGAGGAGGTGGAAGAGGAGGGGGACGGCGGAGGGGTGGTTGAGGTTGGCGCGGCGGAGGATCTGGGCGTGGACTTGCTTGAGTTGGGCCGGGGTGGTGGCGGTGGTTAGGGCGGTGTGGAGTGTCGTGGTTGCGGCGGTTGCGGCGGCGGAGGGGGGAGGGAAGGATGTGGCGGGATGGAGCAGCGCTTGCATGGCGTGCGGACTGGAGCGTGGCGTGACGATGCAAATGGGTACCGGAACATGTGTTACATCGAAACTTAGACGGTCGAGTACGACGAGACGCATGAAATCCACGTACGAACCATCGTGTTCGAAGATTCAGATTTTCATATAAAGGTGAGTTTATTTCGCAAAAAATAATTTTCAGAAAAACACTTTTCTTGTTTGGTTTACTTAGAAAAATAAGTTAATGGAAAATATTTTCTTAATCAATGAAAAATGTTTTATTACCAAAGCTTAAATTCAGGAAAATGATTTTCCATTTAAAAGAATCGAAAAACGTTTTCCAAAGTATGACTAGCTGTCGACGTTTGGACTCGAAACTTTACGTTTAAGCACGAAAACCCCCACGTTGGTTCTCAAGTACCAACATTTATGACCAGGTCTCGACGGTCGGGCTCGAAACCTCGGTGTCTAGGGCCCAGGCCCCCGGCACCCATGCTCGAGTCCATCAAGGCTGAGCTCGAACCCCTAGTGCCCGTACCCGATGCTCGTACCCAAGCTCGGCCGAGGCCGGCAAACTCACGGCTCGCCAGATCCAGGTTAGCCCAAGCTTCGTCGATCGGGCTTGGCCGAGGCCGGCGAGCTCGCAACTCGCTAGATCCAGGCAAGCCCGGGCTCAACCGGGGCCGGCGAGCTCACGACTCGCGAGATTCAGGTGAGGCCGGCGAGCTCGAGCTTGCCTATGGCCATCGCCGGGTGAGCCTCAAGCTCGCCGGTGGCCATCATCGGCCGGACGCGGTGAAGGGAGGAGGAGGGAGGAGGAAAAAGAAAAGGAAAGAAATGAAAAAGGAAAATTAAAAAATAATTTTAAAAAGAAAATTAAAAATAATTAAAAATTCGATTTTTAAAAAAATAAAAAATTTTAAAAAATCATTTTTTTCCTAAAATAAAGTCATGAGATTTAAATAATTTTCCAATGAAATCCAAACATCAGAAAATGATTTTCATTATGGATCACCAAACAAAGGAAAACTAAGCGTATTTTTGAAAAATGATTTTTCGAAAAATATTTGACTTTATCATTGAGTCTTTCGCGAAATAAATGCACCATAAGTTTAGTACATATATGGAATGATTACGCGGATGCTTAGGGAGGGGCTTCAACTAGGGAAGTTGGATAAGTAGTTGGTGGTAGCCTCCTTTGCTTTTGCTAAATGAAGTTCTTGTCCTACCCAAAAAAACATTATTAGATTCAAAGTACTAATTCTATTTCACAAGTGTGTAACTCATTTTAAATGGTCCATGAACTTTGGCCCAATACGTAATGTGATCCCTAAACTTTAAATTTGTTCAATACAGTCCCTTAATTTTAGTCCAATGTGCAATGTTGTCACTGAATTTTTAATTTGTTCAATATGGTTCCTAGACTTTTGGTACATATTCAATGGTCTCTGGACTTGTGGTACATATCAATTTAGTCCATGAATTGTTTGAAAATGTTCAATTTTGTCCTTCCATTAATTTAAATCCGGAGATAACATTGAACATTTTCATATAATCCAAAGACTAAAAACATGTACTAAAAGTTCAGGTTGAACAAATTAAAAATTCAGGGACGATATTGAACATTGGGCTAAAATTCATAGATCGTATTGAACAAACTTAAAATTCAGGCATCACATTACACATTAGAGTAAAGTTTATGATCCATTTATGTTATTTACCCTCTAATTTTCCAATGGCCACGTCACCTATCGTATTAATTTGTATGCACCTCTTGGGTTCACCTCGCTCCATTACAATTTAACAAAGAACGAGAAAGAAAATTGATGGGGTATGTAGCGGCTTTGCTCGTGGAAGACATATCATTAGCCTGGGACGATTCAACATGACACATATAAGATACTATTGACATCCCAAAATTTTCGTTCGTTTGTTTAACGAGCGTACGTAATGGAACGTTACATGGGAATTAGAAGGATTGTCGACGAGCTACGGAGGAGTCAACTTCGGAAGACGCGGATGCTATTACGAGGCCACTATACCATCACCATGACAATCACCGCAAGACCATCCTACAATTATCTATCATTTCGTTCGTTAATGTTTGTTACGGACTAACCGTCTTGACGACAAAAGTTTATTCACGCTATTCCCACAATTACGCCTCCCCTCTTCCGCTCCTTGTATACCATTGGGAATATTGTGGTCACGCCCCACTTCTCACCGTCCACCAATGC